CCGCGGCTGGCCTTGGGAATAGCGGCGAGTTCGTGCTTCTGCCCAGCAACTCCCAGGCAGACCACCACGGCGAAGGCAGTGCCTGACAAGGCCCAGTCCTGCCCTGATACAGACTCACTAGCTCTGGGGTTTTATGGGATGAGACAAAAGCAGTCAGTTCCAAGCGGGCTGCGTGCACACCGACACCCCTGACTTCGCTCCCACTTCTCGTCCTCTCGCCGTTGCCCTGTACTCACAAGCCACAACTTGGAACGAGCAAGTTGCGAGGGTGTGTAGCTACAAGCCTAAATCCTTCTCACCCCGAAGTCTCAATGTCCAAACTCTTCTAGAGAAAGACAGAGTCAAGCCCAGGATGGCAGGAGATCCTTCTGTACCACCCACCTGGAGTTTCCTTCAGTTGTATGGTCCCTTAAGGAGCAAACCCCTGGCAGAGGCAGCCACTTTCCCGGCGCTTGCTGTGACACTCTACCACAAGTCACTCAAAAATAACATGCCCTGCACAATCTCACCTTCCTACAAGCACTTTGCATTGCTTCAGCTGCTAAGCTGATCCCATCATAGTCAGGCTGAGCTTTTCCAGGGCAACTCTATGCCAGTTCTATTCATAGCCAGAGGAACGGGGCCTCAAACTCAACACGCTTCCCTGGAGAAAAATCTGTCTGAACTGCTTCTTTAAAAATAAGTTCAATGACTTGCTTAACACTTAGCGTTCAAGCTGCAGCAGTTCCATAAGGAAAAAAACCAAAAAGGCAAGGACCATGACAAGAAGAATCAGGATAAATACAAAACTCTTCTACATTTCTGCAGTCCCGGTGCAGCCTGTAGCAGGGCCAGCTCTGGCTTCCAGTGGGGATGCAGTTAAGGGACAGAAGAAAGATGGTGGCTTCAGCACAGAAGAGAAAATTTGGAAATCGTGAGAAAAATCAGTTTGGCAAGAGGCTACTTCACCTTTCAGCAGCCCAAAGACCTAACGGATGGCAGATGACTTAAGGTAAGGCAAGACTCAAGCTCTAAAAAAACCAAAAGGAAGTTAAAAAGCCGTATGAACTCGAGAGCGTCATCTACGTCCTGATTGTTTGGCAGTTCAACAGCCAACGGCAATTCAAAGTGCATTATTTGGGGGAGCCCAGCTGGGTCAGCATCAGCCCGGCCACGGGCGGCGGCCGGGCCTCAACACAAACCTAGGACAAGGTCTGAGCCCGCGTGTGTCTGAGCACAGAGACCCCTTGCCTGGCCCAGCGGGCGACAAATGGCTACAGTCAGTCCCACCAGTCTCCATCCCGGGGAAATGCCCCTTTGCAGCACACTGAGGAGCACAGGGCAGCCTGCTGCTGAGGGACGGGACTGGTCCCACCCTACGCGCCTTTCCCTTCCCACCCACCCTCAGCCCCCGAGGGCGGCGGGCTCAGAAGAGCGGCAGGCACTCTTTCGCACAGTCTAGAGGTGGCAGCTTGATCTGAAACCCTTCCTGAGGGAAGAGAGAAGCCTGCATGTCCACGTTGATGCAGAGTAAGCCCATCATGAGCTGGCGTTGGTACTCGTCCCACTTCATCATGACGTCGGACAGGGAACGGTTGCTTCTCATCCACATTGGCAGCGCTTCACCGCAAGGCGGTGCGGGAGAAATCGGCAGGCTCTGGGGCCTCCCAAGCTCGAGGTGGTAGTAGAGCCTGGAAGGCAAACACACGCAAAGAATCAGTACGTAGGAAGACTTGAGCAGGTTACCGGGCCAGAACTCCAGAACCGCAGAGCTCTCTTGTTCTACCTCTGACTGCAGGACCTTAGTCAGAACCACAGAGCTCTCTTGTTCTACCTCTGACTGCAGGATCTTAGAACCACAGAGCTCTCTTGTTCTACCTCTGACTGCAGGATCTTAGTCAGAACCACAGAGCTCTCTTGTTCTACCTCTGACTGCAGGATCTTAGAAGTCTCAGCCTTGCCTCATCCTCAAGCCTGCTGCCAGGAGTTCAGTTCAGAAGCACACACAGACCCAAAGGGTTCTACCTCGTTTGGAAACCCTCTGGTGTTTCCCAGCCACCCTAGGGCATCCCCATCCTAATCCAGGCCTCGGTCTCAAAGCAGAAAAGGTCATTTGAGCACAAACACTTCTTGGAAGGAGCATTTAGGGGACCTTGGGCCAGCAAATGCCACACAGGCAAGCACCTCTGTCTTCTACAGAGGGTACGGAACAACCTAGCTTATTGTTTTAATTAAACCCCAGAGACCACAGTCCAGATTTGCATTTTAGGTCGGGCAGTAAATCCTTCTGGTCAATTTGTGTTTCACTTGCTCTGCTCCAAAGGGGTAGAGTCTGTAGAAGGCAAAAGGTGAAAGGGGAAACGGAGGGCTCCGCGAGAAAAGTGCCGTACCTGGCTGAAAGGTGGCTGCCCAGTTTCTTCTTGGCTTTCTTCACAAGATAGTTGCAGATTTCAGTCATCTGCTCCCTCATCCATCTAATATCCTCAGGGATATCTGGGAGCCATTCCAGCAACCTGGGAAGAGACGGGAGACAACCTTTGGTTGGGCCACACAGAGGAGAGGATGAGGAGAACGCTGGTGTTGCCTCCAATCAAAGGCTACTCGTTATTTTTAGTGAGAGAGGCATTAAGAGCCATTTACACTACCATTCATAGATTTAAGGGGGAGAAGCTGTGAAGGCTGAGAACAGCCCAGGAACTTACTCTTTACATTTTCCACACTTCCCATATTTTTAATCTGTTTTGAGATATGGAAAGTTTTTTTTCCCCTCAGCCTTTCTATCACAAACTGTCACCTCCCAAAAACTTTTTACAGGGTACTTTGTACCAAGAACAAGTCTGACAGACCCGTTTCCCAGCTGCATAAGCTGGAAATGGCTGGGACTGCTCTACCCCTCGCTCTTGTGCGATTCTTACTTTCATCCCTGCATTCCCAGTTGTGAAGTCTGTCCCCAGGCTCTGAAATCTACCTTGGGCAAGTTCCAGTACACAGCCAGCTTCCTTCAAGCTGGAAGAGCTAAGTGACACGCAAAGGTAGGAAACGTTTTGTTTGTTTTCATATGCCTGGTAAGCGGCAGAAACTCTTTCCCCGGGAAATCTGGAACTGCAAAGTTAGAGAAGATCCTACCCGGTCCATTCATGCCCCACCAGCTACATCAAACACTTGGCTGCGCCGCGGGAACCAGGTGAAGGCCTACCTGACAGTGAAGGAAACCGCAGACTCCAGAGGCAGCATGTAGGGAACCATCATTGCCGTGGCCACACGTATAGGCAGCATGTTGGTGATGCCAGTCAAGAAACCTCTTCTTTCAGCACAAGCTTCCAGCAGAGCTGAAGGGAGGAAGCAAACGTGCCTGAATCCCTGCAACGGGACCATCCCTTTCCTTGCTATACCCCAAGATATTACCCAGCTCGAGGTCTCCCCTCACTGCCTTCCACTTCTTAAGGAAATCTTGCTCAGGGTAGTAATTCTCTGAGCACAGCTGAGAACAGCAGCTTTTACCTTTATCAGACTCTCAAAGGAGTAAGCAACAAGATCCTCTCCTTACCACGCAGAACACTCTCAGATGAGCCACCCCCTCTCAATTCAGCCTCAACTTAACTGAAGAGGCCCCCGCTCCACCTAACCATCAGCAGGTGCCAGTGGAAACCCCGAGTGTGGCCAAGCCTGGCCACAAGCCATCCCAACACATCCCCGTCCTCTTCTGGAGCGGAGCAGGCAGCACAGGGAGGCTACCTGTGCTCCCTCCCTTTGGATCATACCTTGGTTCAGTCTGGGAGGCAAGTGTTCGAAGATGTGCTCTTCGACAACAGCGAGGGCAGTATTGTCCTCTGCTTGGTCCTCAACTTCAGTTTCTTCCTCTTTCTTCTCTCCTGGGGGAGCTTCTATGGCGAGGAGAGGGCGGGCAGGACTTGGGCGATTCAGGAGACCTGAGAAGAGAAGTCACGCCACGGGGATGATACAAACGAGCTGCCCTGCCTCACCTGGCCTTTAAAATGTTAGCCCTCATTTTACTCTAAGCGCTCTCAGACATCATACCCAGCCTCTTTGGCTTATGAGTTAAAAACCTCGCTGCTCTAAGATCATCCTCGAGCCACCAGAAATTCCAGCTTTTCCCACAGGGTGGGCACAGCACCACAGGGTGGGCACAGCACCACAGGGTGGGCACAGCACCACAGGGTGCTGTTCGGCAGCGCTTTGTTGCTATAATCTGCCCGTTGCGGGCAAGAGTTCCCTCCTGCAGGTTAATCCACAGACACAGCCCAATAACTGCTCTTTCTCCCAGGGAGCTGCTCGTCGCGGAGCAAACCAATGTGCTCAACCCGCTGTACATCGACACTAGGTGGCATCAAACACACGCTCAACCTGCTACAACAGTTGGAGGCGACAAAGTCCAGGACTTGGACACATTAAAGTGTGCTCTGCGGTGCTGTTACTCCAGCCGTGCCCTAGCTGCACATATAAAGGTGCAGGGTATCTGCAGGAGGCGCAGATGGCACCGGGACCCAACCACCGTATTGGTGCAGCACCAGAGCTTTGACACAAAAGCACCGCTTTGGTACGGGAGGGGTCGGAGTCCCGCAACACGCTCGAGTTGTCCGCTCCACCTCTGCCTCCTGAAGTGCTGAAATAGACTTATTAATGGAAATTCCGTGTTCTGATATCCAAGCCACAGCTCGGTTCTGCCCCTCCACCCTTCACATTGCACTGTTGATGATCCCCAAAGCCAAGGCAGCGAGCCCAGCACAGGAGAGGCAAGTCAGAGCACCCCGCGAGCGCCCAGCACCTCACCGTTCTTCTTGAGGAAGTACAGCGCGTCCCGATAGCCCTGCTTGCACATATCCCGCAGCACCTGGGGGCAGAAGAAGGCAAAAGCAAGTCATCTGGAGGTTGCTTGGCTGAGTAGAGTGAACACCCAGCTCAACACTGGCTTTAGAGGAATTCTCCTGATTCCTGAGCGATCCCAAGGATGGGATCTTCCCAGCTCTTCCCCAGCTTTAAGCAGGAACGGGAGGTATAACATAAGCAGACTGGATATGGGAATCACAGGGGAATTCAGAGAGGAGGGGACATCTGGAACCCTACCTAAGTACTGGCTTAGACTTGTGGTCGCCTCACTTCCCTATCTAGGACTGAGGGTGCTGCAGGCAGCCTTCAGCGAGTCGTTCTGACCAGCAGCCCAGAATATTTCCCAGGGGACGTCAGGAAACGCTACTGTCTGCATTTGCAGATAAAGCCTGCTAAGACTAGAGAGGCGGCAGGAAAAAAAAATTTCTCCAAGTAATTGAGCACATAGATGCCCGCTTATTATTGCTCAAACACCAGGGCCGCCTGAGGCTGCATTTGCTCCAAAGCACACAAAGCTGTTTGTGGTGCCACCTGCTCCACTGGCACTTTGTTTTTTTAGGAGACCATCGCTGACTGCAGGCTGGCAGCTCTGTCCTGACCTTAAAATGCTCAAGAGCACAACACATCCCTGTTTACAAGCGAGCCCGGCTGCCTGGCAAAGGCTACTCTAGAGAGTGCGACACAGGAACACTTTCCAAGCAACTGCTGCCATGAAATTCCAGATCTCTCGGTAGCAAAAGGAAACCAGCCTTGTGCAGACGGTCAGCGTTTGCCAAGTCAGTGGGTCGGTAATGTCAAGGTTAAAAAATAGACAAACAAGAGATACAAAATTAAGAGTGTCTAGAAACTTCTTCCCCTGAAGGGCCCAGTGTAGAATCATAGAATCCTAGACCAGCCTAGGTTGGAAGAGACCTTGGAGATCATCTAATCCAACCCCCTGTCATGGGCAGGGACCCCTCTCAACCAGCCCAGTTTGCTCAAGACCTCGTCCAACCTGGCCTTGAACACCTCCAGGGAGGGGGCAGCCACAGCTTCTCTGGGCAATTTATTCCAGAATCCTGCCACTCTCAGATTGAAGAATTTTCTTCCTGAGATCTAATCTATATCTATTTTCCTTTAAGTTAAATTCATTTCCCCTTGTCCTATCAGTGGATATTTTTGTCAAAAGTCTCTCCCCAGCCTCCCTGTAGGCTCTCTTCAGGCACTGTAGACAGTGAAAAGGTCCCCCCGGAGTCTTCTCTTCTCCAGCTGAACAAGCCCAGCTCCCTCAGCCTGTTCTCGCAGCAGAGCTGCTCCAGCCCCTGGGTCAGCTTTGTGGCCTCCTCTGGACTCGTTCCAACAGCTCCGTTTCCCTCTAACGGTGGGGGCACCAGAACTGGATGCAGGATTCGAGGTGAGGTCTCACCAGAGCAGAGCAAAGGGGGAGAATCCCCTCTCGATCTGCTGGCCACACTTCTCTGCGCCCACCTACTCTCCCCAAACTCTAGTGCTGCCAGGAAACTCACCTGCGGCTCCGGAGGAAACAGGGCCTTTGAAAGGCGGTAGAGGTTGCGAAGGTTGAACTGGATGCTTGTGTTGGTGACTCTCAGCTCGTGCATGTTTGTAGAACTGTCCCGTGGACAGATATCGCTCTCTCCTGAGAAGGGAGACACCGTGATTGTGTTCTTCAGCTCATATTGTGGCAAGTTGTCAGAAATGCCTCCATCAACGTATCTCTGAAATCAAGACAAATGAAAGAGTCTTCATTTCTCATCGCTGGTGAAGCGGCTTTTTTACTGTGTGTCCCTGTGAGTATCTGTGCCAACAGCTTGGGAAGAGAATGGAGTACATCCACCAGCACTGGAGAAGTCAACACCAGTGAGAGTCCAGCTGTGTCTCAGGTCTTCAACAAGGAAGGCATGTTCACTCGTGTGACTGCTGGCGCTGTCCAGTAAAACATGACACACCAACAACCACCCGCGGTGCAAATTAGCACTCATCTAAGCTGTCACACTGTGACATTGAGCCATTTTGCACCTGTGCTTCAAATTAATAAGCTCAGACACGAGTCCCCACTGGTGGGAGGTTTATTACCCAGGAGCAGAACGAGCTGATTTGTTGCTAGCAGGCTTATCAAGCAGCAGTCCCAGCACACGTCTACCCATGTGTGGTCTGCTTGCTGTGATGTGATAACAGAGCACAAGGGACTTGGGTTTTGCTTTTAACAGGAGCCCTCTTATCAGAGAATGTTCTGTTCCTGTGCATCATAAACATGTTTGTGCTACCCTTGCAGGAAGGGCAACCCTAGTAGCATGTACTCAACTCGAAGTATCTGTTGGAGTACCACAGCTGCACAAGATGCTGAGCAAGACAATCCCTATCGCAGGCCTTCAGCAGAGTAAGCAACATGCAGAAGATAAAACAAAGGGGACGTCGGTCAAGCCAAAAGAGCAGGATGTTCGAGACCTTTGCAGAGCAACAACTCGAGCTCTTGTGAATCGCGGTGATAAGAGGAAAAAAAAAAAATAGACAAAAACGTGCTGATTTTGTATCAGGGTAGATCCTGCCATTTGCAGCCTGGAACCCTTCCCGTTGGATGGGTTCAAATGCAAATCATCACCCAGGAGCTTCACAGCCCCATAAGCAGTAGCTGTAACGCCTTTCAGCTGTCTGCCAGGTGCCAGAGGCTGAGCCCAGGCAGAGCATGAAGAGGAGGTGCTCTGCTCTGCATCACGCTTTGCCTCGTCTCAGGCAGACCGACCACTGACACCGGTCGTTTGCTGCACAACACCTAGGAAAATGCCAGCTGCCTTCCCCGGTGTGTGCTCTTCTCTCTTGCTCTGGAGTGCAGACAGGCAGACACCTCTTCAAGCAGCTTCTCTGAGCCTGAGGAACAGCTCTGGGTGACAGCACTCAGATTCAGCAGCAGGAACCCAGCTCCCATCGAGGCAACAGGGTCAGCGCAGACTGCACAGCGGGTTTCCTGGGGGCAAACTAGACCTCAGGGCTACCTCTACATGCAGCCTACAGGTTCAGGAGAGATGGCTTGCCATTACAGTTGTAGGCTGCAGCAGCCCTCACTCATAGCACAGGGCGTTCTGGCCTCACATCAGGCTTTGTTCACCGCACACAGTACCGAGACAGACCCAGCTGCAGACCTCTGCACCACCTGGATTTGGGCAGTGGAGAAAGCAGAAGGATGGGATAGACTAAAAACAAGAAGTACACCCTCCTCTCGGAAACAGGAATGGTCAGCTTGCTTACAGGCTGCTTTCTAGACAGAGTGCCGAAATACAATTGAACCTTTGCCCCCTTTTAGAGTGAGCATCAGTTTTCCCTAAGCCAAGAGCAAACAGGAAACTGTTGTCATCATCTCTCCAAAGCTGCTCCACTGGAAGCCAGATCAGGCACAGCTAGGGCGGAAAGAACGGACAGGCTGAGTGGGAAGAGGACAGAACAAAGGAGGCAGCACCCACTTCGCTTAAAGAAAACGGAGGAAAGTGTTTTGGCCATTTAACCGAGACAACAGTAGTTTTGCAGTGAGCAAGCAGAAACAGACGTTTCCCTGAGGGTGGCAGCATGAGTGCATGGAGACCCTTTAGAAGTCAGGCTTAACTGCAGTAAGGCTGGCAGGCAGAGCCTTCTCCCTGCATTGGAAATCTCGGAACACTCGTGCAGACCCCACTCTCCAGCCCACCCAAGCAATGCTGATCACTGCTCCTTCATCAAGACCAGCTGCCACATCTTTGGAATTGCCTGAACCTCCAGCAACCCAAGCCTAACCACTCTCCAACCTCTTGTAAAGCCCCAAAAAGCACAGGGCCACAGGCTGGAGCCACCAGCCACCTGCAGGTGTGAGCAGCAGCAGCTCTGGAGGATGCTTCATGGATCAGTGCAACTGCCGGGGTGCCCAGTTTCATTCCCTTATTATGCCCTCCCCCTCACTTGCATAAACTGACAATTAGACCTTTTTGACCCTCATTAGGGGGTCTTGGTATTTGGAAATTCTTTTTTTTCTCCTTCCCCACACCCATCTTCACTCCACGGGACTGCCAAAGCTCAGAGAAGCAACCACCAGAAAAAGGAAGGAGGCAGCATATGGATTTTACATCCGGCCCACAATCCTATCACCTGGAAAACCAGTCCTCATGTCTGACCTGTGGCAAAGAGTCATCACAGGCATGCTAGGAACCACGCAGTCCTGCTTCAAAATCTTTTCCCAGGCTCACCCTCAACCTCATTTAACCTCTCCCCATCACCAGTCCCCACTTCAGAGACAGAGAGCCATGATTTTCTGGGGAAGAGATAGGAATTTGTTTCCTCATCTCATATATTCCCTCCCCACCTTTCCCCATGAGGACGCCTGGCACAAGGAGTCACCCCTCAGTGTGCCAGGGCAGCTGCACATTCCAGAAACTCTGAAGCCGCACACAGCTTGGGAATTGTTGAGATTTTGCTCAATCCACACTGACCTCAACTAGCCCCAGAGAAGCGTTAGGCAAGAGCCACTGCTACGGTCTCACTAGCTGGGGGACAACAGCCCCGTGTGCAATCACGGAGCAAAATGGCAAACCGTTACCGGTCCTGTCACTTCTGCGACGGGATGGACATCGGACATTTCTTCTAGGTCACTTCCCTGCCCAACATGCTCGCACAAGACAAAAGCGGACAAGTTGTGTATTTCTCAGGAGCCAAACTGACCTCACTTTTAGGACACAGATTTGGTGCTGCGCTCTGACAAAGCATCTTGGTCACGTCACTTTACGGGAAACCAGGGCACAAGTACATTAACAGCAGTTCTCCCTCTTCTCTCTGACTAGTTCATTTGCTAACAAACTGCCTTTTAATGTGTGCATTAACCTAGTAAAAAGGACGTCCAAGCTCAACTGAGGCCTTTAAGCATGACTGCAAGATTCAGAAATGCTCCAGCTCCACACAGCTTTCAAACGTTTTCATTTCTAACATGCAAACACAGAAGGGAGAAATCGCTCTGGACAGCCTTGGATTGGATGTTAAAGCGAGCTCTAGCAGGCTGCAGAACATTATTCTGGAGGAAAGACAGGAAGAACTCCAGGGGGAGAAAACAACCAAACAAACAAAACACAAACCAAACCAAACAAAAAAACAAAAAGAAAATATCTGGTATCAGCACCCCTAGTTAAAACCCCATAGAAAGCATCAGGCATGTGGGAGAGGGACTACACTCATGATTTCTGTCCTGGACTCAAGTTTTTTCCACACACAGGGTTGGAGCCTCAGTGACGAAGAATATTGTATCAGGCAGCCAAGAGAACCATCCCTTAAGTCAGTCAGCACTTCCACTGTTGGAAGCTGTTCATCTGGGAATTTCTCATGCTCTTCAGAAGAATTGCTGCCAGCAGACAGGCAACAAGAGTGCAGAAACCAGAGCACCAGCATGTCTGCCTTACTTACCACTCCACGCAGGGTTGGAGGTATCAGCCCACAGTAGACGGGGATGAAGGTGCTGCAGACACAGGCCTGAGGGAGGAAGAGATCCAGAATGTAAGAAGGAAACCAACACCTACTGAGCCTGTTACTCTTCTCCAAACACCACACGGGCACTGTACTCCAGTACTAAGGATATCTGGAGAACAAGACAAAACAGCAGCTCCTGCCCAGCCCCCTGCCGGAAGTTTCCATTCACCTGGATCAGCTCCTCTTTGGAGTTGAAGTCCGACAGTATCACGTTTTCTCCATCCGAGACCCGTGTCAAGGAAATACCCAGACGTCCCGCTGCAACCTCATGCCCGTTCTCTGGCACGGTCTTGGACAGGCAGATCCGAATGATCTTCACCAAGTTGAAGGATGGGTGGAGTGGGCCCAAGAATCTTTTCCGGGCTTCTTTTGACACTCGAATAATGCTGGCGCCAGCCTCACCTGCAACAAGAGAAAGAAAAACAGACCATGAAATCTCAGGAAAAACAGCCTTCGCCTTTACAAAAAGCGCAGAGAAGCCTCATTCACAGCTTTACTCTGAGGTTTCTCCCCACTGGATGATATATATAACTCAAGACGAGATCTGACTGTTATGGGCAGTGTTATAGAACTCACGAAAGTTTGCTGCCTTGGCCCTCGGATTCACCTACTGCTAAGAGCTACCCTCATCTTAAATATGTTTTATAAAGTCTCTGAAGACCACTTGCATCTAGCTAAGGCCTCACACTTTTTCTTAGATCCTGTTTCATTAGCCAGTGCAGGCGTGGTGAAAACACAGACTCAAAGAAAACGATGGAAATGTTAAAAGATGTTTGAGCTTACAGCTAAACCCAGTTTGAAACATCTTCCACTAAAACTTTTCTCATAAGCATCTTTGTTTCTCTTCTTTTATCCTGATATGAAAACTAAAAGTCACCTGCCTGTAAGCAAAAGTGCCAGTAAACACAAACGTCGGTGCTTTCCAGCTAAGCCATCCCAGCTCGGCTGTTAACGTCAGCCACATCTCAGGCGAGCTGGACGGACACTCCGTGCCTCCTGCAGAACCTTTGGTGTCCCTTCCCTTCCACGTCCAATTCCACAGCGCTCAGCTGGGCCCTGACGTGAAGACATACCCACTTCTCCCTTTCACACAGTGACCCAGTTGGGTCTGGAGGAGAGGGGACATTCCGTCTGCACAAAAGGGAAGGCATCTGCTAAGCTGATTATTTCAGTCATCAGGAATCCCATCTGGCAAGAGCATCAGGGCTCTCCAGGGAGAAAAGACGGACAGGAGAAAACAAAACAAACACAGCACCCCAAGCCAAGCCCTCAGCACCCAGCACCGCTGCCCTTTGCCCACACCAACTGCTGCTTCCACTTGCATCTCCCAGCCGTGGTGAGACACAAGAAAACAGTTTCTCCAAGTACCAGCCAAGCCCGGGGCACAGACACATTTGAAGAACATAAAGGAAAGAATTAAAGAAACCGGGAGGAGAGAGTCATGCTTTCACAAATTAAGACGTCTCTCCAATCAAACTCAAGTTCAGTTCCTGGAAAAAGGTGTTGGCTTCAGTTCCAGCCAACTGGAAATCCCTCTGGTTTGCTCTCCCAGCCACTCTTGCAATCTCAGAAAAGCAGCAGCAGAAGGAAAGAACGCAAGTCGGACCCAGGTGAATAAACACAACGGAGATAAGAGCAGCAACACCCTCAGCGCTCCGTTGGCACCTCCTACTCTTTTGCAACACACGTGCACCAGCAACATGTTTTTCCTCAATGCAGTCTGGCAACATGGTTCTGTGCTTAGGAAACCCAGCAACACCAGTAGCTCAAGCATGCACAGAACTGGATTTCTGAACGTGACCAGAGCCTCTGGGGTCAGGATTTTAGGCACCGTGAGGCAGCAACTTTGCAGAAAATCCAAGTTCTCCTCCCCGAAGCAATTTTTAGCGCTATAATCCCAGTCTTCTGCTCTGTCCTAAAGCGATGTTCAGCAGCCTAATTCTGATCTCTCTTACTGAATTAGCAGTAAGCCACTGAGCCCAGCCTGTTTCAGATCGGAGCCGCGTGGTTCAACATCCCTCCCAACACGCCGTCAGCCTCACAGAAACTACATTTGATCAGCACCGTGACATCTGCTCCCCAAGACGCCTTCACATCTGACAGGGGGAACAAAGAAAACGCAAGAGAGCCAAGAATTAGACAAACCCCCGGGCGGCACCTTGGCCACAGCACCCCAGGAAACTCGGAGTGCACTGCAGTGAGCTGCTGGCTTAGCTGAGGGGGGGTGTCGAACGTGCCGTCGCGGGGAGACACCCTGGGCACAAAGGCCGTGCTGGCGGGGTGTGGGTCACCCAAGAAACGCTGCTTGCAGAGCGACGCTTTCAGACTTGGCATCTCCGTCCGCAGAGAGATTTGATAGCAACACGCTAAACAACTGCAATTAAATCAAGCTTGTGACTCTTGGAGCTCAGATGGGAGCTGGAAGGTGTGGTTTTTTAAGAAAAACCAAACCAGTAAAGTTCTCGCTGTGCCAGGAAACAGACTGTCTCAGCGTCTGAGGGGAGATTTCAGCTGCCTGCTCTATCACCATTTCACAACCAAAATAAGAATTACTGCTAATTAGCAATTCCATTCTTTGATTCTTTTCTGCATGCTTATGTTGGGGTGGGTTATTTTATCTACATGTGCATGCATACAGGTACAGGCTTCTGAGGTATTTCAATTTAAAGGCACCTCTGATTCGGTTGGACTAGCTGTCTCGCTTTCAAAGCTGAGCATGGAAGGGCTCTGTGGGAAGAGAGGGGCACAGGGTGACCTGCAGCATCACCGGCTTTCCTGGAAATAGGGCTGGCTGAGGGTTCAGCCAAAGGAGCTGGATTTACGTAGTTAGGTCCATGGCAGACGACGAGCCCTCTTGGAAAAACATTTGGGAGGGCACAGAAGAGGTGAGAGTGGTTTAGTCCCGTTAACTACCAGAAGCCCTGTTCCAGGAAAACCAGCTCAGGTTCTGCTCGCAGCCTGCCAGAGGGAGCAGCTGAATGAGAGGTGGTCAAGAGAGACGAGTCCCGTAGGGTCAGCCACTAGCTGTCAATTATTACTAGGTCTAGTCCGGTGCCAACTCCAGCCCACAAAAAAGTTTCTAATGTTTTGTGGGGTTTTTTTGATGGATCTGGTGATTCAGGACACAGGGTCATATGAAAAAGCTAAATTAAGTTCTTCTTCCCTTATCAAGGGCAGAGACCATTCCTACACAGTTGCTATTGCTTGCTGGGAAAACACTTCCTTCTTCTCCCACCAACCAATTCATTCCACACTTCTGCCTATACAGGTTTACTAAGCCAATATTCCTCTAAAAATACATTAAGACATGTGGAATATTTCACTGGCATTAGAAAAGCCATACCCCCCCCACCTTCCCTGCCCCCCACCACTGCCCCAGTGGGTGTTGCTATAAGTGAACCCAAGTGCTGCCGGGCCATCGGCCTTATCTCCATTTCAGTTGCGATGACGCAAAGGAGCATCAGGCAGTTGTGTCCCGAAACAGCCCAGCGTGTCCCCTGCCAGACAAGCTGCTTCCCCTCTGCTCCTTCATCCTCTCATCCTTCTGCAGTGGGTACCAGAACCGGGTGACTCTTATCAGTGGGAAAAGACCTGAAAGCAGCTGCTAGTTCACATTTTTAAGCTCTATAAAGCCAGCTTGGCATTAGCTTATTGACATAACAAGACTGTTCCCTTAAAGAATGGGCTTTCACCCCTGACAGTCACGCTCAATTCCAGAATAACCCAGTAGCTCAGTCTCTAACACCTCGTATCCCCTAAACCACCCTTCTCAAACACGAGAAGCATTCAAGCAGCGTGTGCTATTAATAATTGTATACCAACACCTCCAGGCACAGCAGCCTGCTGCTCCTCTGCCTCTGGACAAAGGGGAAAAGCTGAAGATTAAAACTGATGTCAGCCAGCTCGCTGGGAAGACCCTTAACTGCAGCTAAGAGCTCCGAGATGAAACAGAAAGGCTGCTTGAAGCCTGTGCAACACGTGAGGATGAGGACTGCCACAACCACGGCGGGAGGGGTGAGGAGCGGGGAAGAGGGGCCCTTCAGACTGGCACCTTCAGCAGCCAAGGGCACCCCAACGCTCTCCCGTTGACATTGAACCACCCCGATACCCATTTGCTAGCCAGCAAAAGGACAGCTGACCTATGAAGTATTTCAAGTGGAAAAAAAAGCCTAAGACAAACAAAAATAGGAGCAGGGCCGGCTGAAGAGGGAGAGGGGCATTCTGGAAATCCGACCCAGCGGCTCCTGTGACTGTGGCTAACCCAGGACACTGCGGCTCCCTCTGGAAGAGTTCCATATCAGCACAAAGATCACCCTCTGCACCAGGGACGTTCCAGCGGCTGCAAACGGGATGCCAGCTTAAAGGAAAGGCTCTCCAGCAGGAGTGGAGAACAGACAGTGGGGGAATGCAGGGACAGCATCTCCTGTCCCTGGCACAGACAGAGAGGTCACTGCAGATGCCACAGCTCACCCGGGCTGCCAGGGAACCACGCGGATCCTCACTAAACCTGCTTCTCATTCAACACCAGCAAGAATTCAACTGGACTCAGCCACGCAGGAGGCACCACTCCTCTCTTCCCAGTCCCATTACCCAGTTAGGGCTCCAGACTGACCCGGCACACCGATACCAGCAGCTCTGAAAGGACGCCAGCTAGCAGAAGGAAGCGTAGGTGCTTTCGACATTCCTACGGCACCCTGAGAGCCCAGTGCCTTGTTAGTTTGGGATGGCATGACCAGGCTATTTTGACGGCAAGATTTTGAGGACAGGAGCCAGCTCCCATGTACCATAACCCGAGACTTCGTTCTGGAGCTGCTTCAGTTCTGCTTAGCTATCTGCTCCAGCGATGGTTGTGTGATACTCGGCACAGATGCTCCCTGCAAGAGCCCCCAGATACGATCTTCACACTTTGCTTTCCACTCAGATGGTTGCTGAGCATCACTGGAGCTCTCATTTCTCCCATTGGTAGAACCCAGTCCAGACCTGAATTTAGGATGAGTCGCAGGAAATTTAGTAGCATAATCGCCTTCAGTGTTAATTTCGCTGGGTTGCCTGTCCCTTGCTACTTCAGCTGTTCCCATCCCTCACCCACAGAAGAGCAAAAAGCCAGTCTCTATCGACGAGTACAGGTTTCAGAACTGTCCCATGTTTTTCCTGGGCACAAATCCCCAGGCTGCTCCTGCTCAGCACACACAGCCCCTGCACCTGCCTCTTCTCTGGGTACTGAGAGTAAGCAACGCGCATGCTTTGCCTGCCAGGCCTCTCCCAGGAGATGCTACGGCCCCAATTATACCACAGTCCTGTCACCAGCGCAACAACGTCAGTTTGTAAACAAGAAGAAACAGAAGTTTGCAAGCTGACATCTAGAAAATGATTAACAGAGAACTTTAATGAATGTTTCCCCA